CCAGAATATTCACTTATTCAAACACATGTAAATTAACATTATACATTTGCAATGAGTTCCATTCTCTTTTATTTGCCTGGCGTTCTGAGTCTTCAAAATTATTATTATTGTCAACATTACCTTCATGCATCATTGAACCTCTTTTGAGTCATTGATCCAAATTTTCAAATAGGAACATTTTCTCTGCATGAAACTTATAACAGAAAATACTAAACTCATAATTATGAAAATATAAATGGTGGGAAATTCACCATCAGAAACAAAAATTACATCCTGTTATCTGAAGCAACTGTAGCAAGAGCTGATCAGCACACAAATTTCCAGTCAGTGATCATTACCATACATCTATCAAGGAAAAGAAATCATTATCATGACCCCACCTGGATGGCATTGCCTCACATGTGGAATTGGGGTGGGTGAAGGGAGGAGAGGGTGGTCAGAGTGCATGTGAGGAGGCAGAGAGGGTAGGAAGGAGGGAGGGAGGGAGAGGGAACTGGGATCGACATGTAAAATAAAAAATAAATAATTAATAAAAAATCATTATCTTATTTAATGATTTTCAGAAATTCTTGTTAACATAATTGTTCCACTGATTTTTCTTCCAAAGCTTTCATGTTACCTGTAGATCTATCCGTGGACCACAGAGGTCTGAACAAAACACTTTAGGAATCTTTGTTGCACAGATTTAAATAAGGAAGCATGTGGATTAAATTACACTAATGTGGCCAGCTGTAGTGCCTAATTCCAACATCCTAGCACTCAGAAGCAGAAGTTTAAGAATTTTAGAGCCAACCTTCTTGCTGTGTAAAAAATGTACTCCAGAAATTGAGCATTTAAGCTCTTCAACTTAGAAAGCAAACAAACCTTAAAAAGCTCAGGAAGCAAGCAATTCACTAGTCCCAGGAATTTCCTGAACTGTAGAAGATTCACACATCCACTCCAATTATTAGCTGTAACACAAGTTCTAATAGGTCTTAATAATAAAAGCTCAGAGTCAGATATTAGGGGGTGAAAGCTGAAAGATCAGAGAAGCAGAGCAGCCAGTTACTAGAGTGCTTAACTCTGTGAAATCCTCCAACTGGAAAGAGATGGAGTTACTGTCTCCTCTTGTCTATATTCCATCTTACTTACTGCCTGTCTATACAGACCTCCAGACCTCTATGGTTAACTAGTGGCTACTTACTTCTGTCTTTTAATTTGTGGTCAAAGTTTAATGACAATGCACTTTTCAACATTATTGTGAATGGGAGAGCAGAATCCCACAGAACCCTTTCTCCCAAGAAAGCCATATATTTTTAAAACTATCTGATTTTTATCTCAGGGTCTCTATTTCCAAAAGGAACCCTCAGTTTGAGGAAAAATTTCCCAACATTCTTTAATGTCTACTTTTGATCTTCATTGTTACAATGATCAAACAGAAAGCTAAGTTCATCTAGGAAAGTATTTGGTGGTACTAAAAAATGCCTTCAATTTTCTTTAAGAAATATTCAAACTTGGGGGAAATCTTCAGACTTTGAATCAACCATGTAGTTTTAGGCTTCTGCATTTTTAATAATACCTTTAATGACAGCATTGTGATTAACTCACATTTTAGAATATATATATATATATATATATATATATATATATGTATACATACACACACACACACACACACACACACACATATATATATATATATATTACATATTGATCCCAGTTCCCTCTCCCTCCTTCCCTTCTCTCCCTCTTTCCCTCTCTCTCCCATTCTCATGCCCCCTGACCACCCTCCCCTCTCATCCCCTCCCACTCCACATGTAGTGTGATGCCTTCCAGGAGAGGTCATCTTAATCTGTCAAGTCATTTGGAGTAGGGACTAGGATTTCTCTCCTGTCTCTTGGTTAGGGGACTATTCCTCCATCCTCCATGGGCGATGTGACCCCAAAGTCCTTTTGTGCAGACTTCTGCATTTTAAAGACACAGGGCATTTTGGAAGGGCAGGTTCTTAGGCATAGGAAATACAATGAAAGTGCATGTGTGTGTGTGTGTGTGTGTGTGTGTGAGAGAGAGAGAGAGAGAGAGAGAGAGAGAGAGAGAAAGAGAGAGAGAGAGAGAGAGAGAGTTGGAGAGACAGATACATACAGAGACATGGAAGAGTTCTTCACATTTATTTGCTAGCTCATTTTCATTGCTAACCTTATGTTTCTTGGCTTTGAAGTAGAACTTTTTGGTATTTTCAGCTTGCAGCAAATCAGAAATTTCTAATGAGTTTCCTTGATATTTACTTTGACCTGATTCAGGTCAGCTTATTGCTTTTTTCTTATACTCCAAAAGCAGAGTAATAGGAGAGAAACCTCCTCTTGCTCATTAGGGCTTCAGTGAGTAATCTTAACTCAAGGTTTTCTAATTAAAATGTAAAGATCATTAGTATGAGTCATAACAGAGGATTTTCTTCCCAGTTGGTGCTGTGATGGTGTTTCTAGGCACACTTCTGCCTCCACCTCATGGAACAATCATTGTGTTGGCAAAATTTCTCAGCAGCAAAGAACCTTAACTGGTACCTAAGATTCTGGTTGAGGGCAGGGAGATAGGATGCAAGCCTGGAGGAACCAAGAGAAGAAACAAATTACAAAGGAAGGAATGTATTTGCTGCAAGTTCCAGGCCCTGCAGAAAGTCAGGCAAACATGCTAGTGTGAAGTAGTGCTAAGGGAGAAAGAGGAAGCAGGCACTAAGGCAGATAGAAAAGACATTACTATATATTTTATAATTATTTCCACAGGAAACAAAGAATTGAGATGGATACTCATAGATATCAGAGTAATTGTTTTATTTTTGCTTGTTTTTTGGTTTTGTTTTATATTCTAGTTTTGTGCTTCAGGATTTCAAATATCTATATAATCTTCGTTGCTGCAAAAACACTTTAACACATGTTACCTTTTCCATATTTCTGACATTTTAAGTAGAGATATTTACTACTGTTTGGTAGTGTGACGTTGTTGATGTCATCTAAATTATTTCATTTGGAATGTAAAATTGTGGTTAATTGAATCTTTAAGTCTTGTGTATGGATTCATGGGGGAATTTAGCTTCCAGTTAGTCATACATATGGCTTGTTTTATGTATGACTTGTTAATAAGAACAAACTTCAGAGCCATAGTCAAGAGCAAGTAAAAATATGGAGCTGTGTGTATTTTCCATTACTAGGATTTAATCTTAGGAATATTAATGGGGATTTAAATCAGAAACAAAAAGAATGTATTGACTCTATATATGCTTGAGTGGAAAATGAAGGCTCATTGATCTGCTTCGCCTCTCTGTCATCTAAACTTTTGACCTGTTTCAATTGTCACAATGTAATTGGCTTTTCTATTAATGGAGCTGGGTCTAATAGAATAAAAATACTTTCATTCATAATTAGAGTTGCCAGGTTTCCAGGAGAAGATGCTTATTTGGATTATGTGTGATTTCAAATTCAGTTAGTTGCAGTGGCAAATGATTACAATTTACATATACATATTTATCTTTCATCTTATTAATGAACTGTGTTAGAACTGTTTGAGGGTGACATGAGTATTGCTTTCATTCTGTGTTTTGATGTAAATGTCATCTAAGATATGTAAAGTTTAGAGAGAGAAAATTTACACTATATTATGATAGGAGATGGAAGACTTGTTCTATGATAGCCCTGCAGTAAAATGGTAAGGAGTTTAATCTACATCACAAACTCAACGCCCATTTCATAAGGGATGTTACTAACTTTAAGGCACTGGGAATCTTTTTATCATGGTAGACTTAAAAGAGTAGTGTGAGGGATAACCTTGATTGTCAGCTTGATAGATGTGGGAAGAGGGACCTCATTTGAAGAACTGTCTTATTTAGATTGCTAGTGGACATGTCTAGGGGGCACTTTCTTAATTGTTAATTGATGTAGAATTGTCCAGCCCATTGTGGGTGGTGTTGTCCCTAGGCAAGTGGGCTTGGCAGAGAAAGTCAGGGGAACAAGCTAGTGTGAAGCATTTCTCTGTGGCTTTATTTCATTTTTTTGCCTTAAGTTCTGCTTTAATTTCTCTCTATAATGTATCATAACCTGTGAGGTAAAATAATCCTTTTCTTCGTCAAGTGACTTTTGGTCAGTGTTTTATTAAAGCATCAAGAGAGAAACTAAAGAAAAGTGATAAAGAAAAACTTGAAATCAAGGAGGAGACGTTGCAAATAAATATCTAGTATTCTTTAGGTTTTCATGTATACATGGTTTCTGGATGTATGGGAATAGGGCCAATTTTTATATATTTTCATAGACTTATTAATTTGTCTCATAGTTTTATAAAAATATAAATATAAACATTTCTAAGTAAGACAAAAGTTAGACTATAAATTTCACTATCATAGCTCACATGCAAATAGTTCTCTGTTAATGTGTGAGAGCTTGGGTTGTCACTCAGTGGCACAGACTTTTCTGGACACATGCAAGGTCTTGAGTTCAGACCCCAGAACTACAAAAATAAAGGTGAAAAAAATTATTAATACACAAAATTGTAGTTCAATAGACAGCAGTGGTTTTCACGATGGTGTATATAATGCAACAACCTGGGTGTGGTCATTAAATTCATAATCTGTGCTCTGCCCTGAGTAACACACTTCCAGTTGCTGCTGAGTCTGATTTCTGGGGTCCCATATTGAGAACTATGGTATTAGAAGATGCCTATCAGATTTTAAGAAAGTATTTCTTTACCATACTTCAGCTCTCAGTTTGGTTAGGATTTCTGAATTGCTATTGTTGAGACCATCTAAAAAGGCAGCAAGATATTTGGTGAAGTTACAATGAGATATGTTTGCAGTCACTTTCATAGTAGCCATACTATGTGCATATATTAGTCATTTGCAACATGTATCTAAGACACAAGGTTGAAGGAATGTGTGTGATCTGTGTATGCTTCTTTACCTATCTATAATCTAACCAGATGTCTATGACCAATATCTATGAGGATATAACTTTAAAATGGATTATTTTTTTTGCTAACAGGGAAGAACATGAATGTAATCCTCTACTACCACAAATTATGCAGTTGAGTTTCCTGCATTTTGGGACATCTCAGGGGTCAGCACATTTGGTAGCGCAATAGATGAGCCTTACCCTGAGAAAACCACTTTCATGGTCATGGTATTTCCCCTGCCAGGTAAGTATTTCATGGTGAATTTTTGTGAATTTCGTACCTAAATCTTTTTTGAAGCTCAGGCTAGATTCAGTTTTTGATAAAATGTTGGAAGTTGGAGGAATATCTCCAAGGGTTTTATACAAGTTTCTTGTGGTAAGTGAAAGTAATATATCAATGGCTCTTATGAGAGAATTGCTAAGAAAAATTCATAGGAAATCTTGAAGACATCAGATATCTTGAACAATTCTATCCTCTTATTGAAGTACTTCAGCAACGAAGTGGTTTCATCTCTGAGACAGATGTTAAAAATATGAATCTTAGAGTTAGGTTTTGGATCCACTGCCAGTAGCATCATATAATAGCCCAGCCACACCACAGTCATCTATGTTAAGGGAGTCTAGTTAGGTCTTATGCATGTTCCCCATTTATAAGACCAGAGTCACTGATTTCTCACTAGCTCGGGTCTGCTGACTGTGGGTTTCCCCATCATGGTCTTAACTCCTTTATTCATATTATCACTCCTCCCTCATTTCGACTGAACTCCAGGAGCTTGGCCCAATGGTTAGTTGCGGATTTCTGCATCTGCTTCCATCTGTTTCTGGAAGAAGGTTCTAGCTTCTCTGGGGTTATGGATCAAGCCCATTCTATATGGAGAGATACTTCGTTCAGCCTAGACCCAGGGATGTGGGGGTAGAGAGGTGTTGGTTCTGCTTCGAGGAGATGAGACAGATTTAGTAGACTTTCTAGGGGAGGCCTTGCCCTCTCTGAGGAGAAGATGGGAGGTGGTGTATGTGTGTGTGTGTGGGGGGGAAGTAGGGGAGCAGGAGGAGAAGAGAGAGGGGAAGGGATTGGAATGTAAAACATAAATTAATAAAAAATGAATCTTGTATATATCTATAGCTAGATGTGACTAGTTGCTTCATTTGACTATTGACTTAGCTATGTGTTTGCCTTTTCATTTTCAATTTTCACAGTGATGGAGATTGAACCCAGGCCCTATATATGATAGGCAAATGCTTGAACACTTTTCTATATCTTCAACCCTAGTTCCATTTTTAGGAAGAACATGTATGTACTTTTAAAATCAGTCTTTCATTTAAATAAAACTTCAAATTGATTGTCAAAGAATGCAGGACACATGTCTGTAAAGCTCTGCCCAGCAACTTCATAGTAGGAACAGATGTTCACCAAATGGCTGTGGAACATCTCTGTCTTGCTGTGGGCTGCTAGAGCATGCAGAAAGGTTCACACTTTCTTTTTTTCTAGTTCCCACATCCCTGCATTTGATTAGTGGTTTAAATACTAGGAACCATGGTAAATGGTGGGCTTTCTATCAAGGGAAATTTCCAATATCTGCTCAGGAGTATGAGTATCTGCTCTCAGTGGAATGGGGCATACCATGGTTTTGGGCATAGTTTAGTGACTTATATCTACCCATTTTATTGTTTGGAAAGAGATATGTAACATTAAGGCTCCAAGTATTCATTGAAGATTTCTTTGTGTTTTGTTTGTTTGTTTGTTTGTTTTTTGGTCTTGGGGTGTAGTAAAATAGTGTATATTGCTGAAAATCTACATTATGCCTATTGAAAAATCTTTTCAAATATATTTTGGTTAGTAAACAAATAAATGGGTAATATTGTGTCACTTTCATACATATACATCATTGTCCTTAAACTCCCACTTCTCTCCTGATTCCTCAACTGTTCCTGGTCCCCTTCCTACTGATAAGTAATCCCCCCTTCTATTATGTTCTATTATCCTCTCTTGTTCTACCTCCTTCTTGCTTTAGATCTATCCTTTCTTCACATAGACTACTTTTCGCTTTCATGCCATTTGCATGACATGAACACACACACTCAGAGGCATACATATGCAAAATCCAGATTCCACATATAACAGAATAAACTTTTATTTCTCTCTTTTTTTAGTTTAATTTGTTTCATTTAAAACAATGATCACCAGTTCCACCCTTTTTCTTGTGAATGTCATACTTTTATTCTTCTTTACAGCTAAATTAAATTCTACTCTGGACTTTAAAAAAAGCAGTTTATCTTTTGATGGACATCTAGGCTAGTTTCATACCTTCCAGACTGTGAACAGTACAGCAACAGATATGATGATGGGATGGTTTACTCTTTTCAGGCTGTAGGGGAAGTAGTATAGCTAGCCTATCTTCAGTTTTTGGAGGAAACTCCCTTCTGGCTTTCGGAGTATAAGCTTCAGCTCCATTCCTGCCAGTAATGAATAGGGGATCCTCATTCTTCCTGTCCTCCCTAGCATTTCTTAGTTGTTCTCGTGGTGATGATGATAGCCATTTGACTAGGAAAAGGTAGAGTCTCAAAACAGTTTGTATTTCTATTTCCCTTATGTTATTCAATTGTTTTGCAAATATTTACTAACCATGTATGTTTTTTCCTTTGAGAACTATCTAATCAATTAAGTAGCACATGTATTAATAATAATGAACAATTTTCTTTGTTGGTGTTTTATGTTTAGAGTTTTCCCATAGACTTCACATATTAACCTCCTGGAGTCAATACAATTGGCAAAGAATTTTCCCCCACTTTGTGGGCTGGCTTTTTTGTGTACTGATTGTTTTCTTTGTTTTGCAGAAATTTTTCATTATGAGGAAATTTCATTTTCAGCTTTTGAGGTTGTCTCTTTAATGCCAACTCTTCAAAGTAAACATTTTTTTTTTTTATCATCTGTATTTCCAAATTTCCCATCTCTTCCATGGGAAGAAGAAATACCATGGGGCAAAGTGCTTAGGTACTTATATGTTTATATCTATTATAACTTCAGCTTCAATTTTGTAGCAGGAAAATTCTTTCTGAATTTATCTGTTTTTAAGAATTCAAATGGGATGCAAACATGGGATGGGGAGGCAGGAGACATCTTGATGATTAAATTGTGATTTAAGTGTTATATGCTGACTTTTGAATTGTAGAGTCAAATTGACATATCTCAATGTTATGTTGTTTTTCTAAACATCTTGTCTCCCAGCATCAAACAAGAAACCCGACCCTATTTCAGATTTGCTAATCTAGTCAACATATCATTCTATAATTACAAATATTCACAGAAAGCAGTATTAGTTTTTTCTTTGTTGAGTAGTTGAGTGTTTATGGGTGCTTCCCTTCATCTGTGATGACACACAGATGTGATTCCCAAATTACTGATAGTAGAAAAGGAATGTGACAATTTTATTTATAATAACTGACATCTTCAGAGTCTTATGCTGAAACATTATGTATTTATACAAAGTTGTGAACGTTGACCATAGTAAAATCCAATAGCGTTAGAGAGTAGAGTGGGCCTGGAGCTAGTAAACAAGTCAATAGAAAAACTAGTCCTTATGAAGACTGAGTTCTGAGCAACAGTGTTTCTAAGCTGCAAAGTGGTCAGTCAATTTGGTCTTGGGAAATAGTTTGTTTCTCCTAATGTTACTGATCACTGGAGATGCTTACTCTGTTGACATATGGAAGTTCAGCTTTTGACATGGCAGCAAACACTTCATTGTTTGGGATTTTGTGTAATGGCCTAAGAAAATTAACCATTGTTCCCAAGTAAAGAATATACTTCTTGTTTTCTTCCCACTTTTTCTAAAAATTAGAAACAATTATTTTACACATCAATCCCTCTATTCCATCTCCCTCCCATTCTCCCATGCCTCCCCATCCCAAGGATAGTGAGGCCTTCCATGGGGCATCATCAAAGTCTGTCATATCATTTGGGAGAGAGTCCATCCTCCATGTGTCTGGGGAGATGGTATCCCTCCATGGGGAATGGGCTCCAAAGTCCATTGTGCACTAGGGATAAATACTGGTTACCCTGTTAGAGGTCCCATACACTGCCCAGGCCTCCTAACTGTCACCCACATTCAGAGGGTTTGGTTCAGTCCATTTCTTAATCATACACTTTTCTGGTCTTTGGAAACGTGTCTAAAACGAATTTCTTTTTGCAAAAACTTTGTTTTGATAACTGGTAGATTCATAAAGGAACCAGTGAGCATCCTTCCCTATACTAAGGGCATGGAAAGCCCAGAGGGGACAATGGCACTGTCAAAATAAAAATGTGCCAAAACCACTTCACAATGATATCCCCAAAATAGTCAAGCTGCTGGTTATGTTGGAGGTCTGGGGGTGTCTGACACTTTCTTTTCACTTATCTTTTTATAAAAACAAGGCAAGCAGACTGTGGTGTTTCTTGTTTTCTAGAAAAATATTAGAACCTTGTTAATTCTGCTACAGTGAACATGGCAGCAAAAGGAAAAATATCATTTTAAGTATAATGGTGCATGCTGGAAACACAGATTGGCAAGCATATGGGGTTCTGGCATCTGGACAGAAGCCTTCTGAACCATCTGCTTCTCAGAGGTTATTTTGGCAATTTCTGTATTTATTCCAGTGATTCACATGTCTGGGCTAAGGATCCTCAACAGGCAGCTAAGACAGGCACAGGTACTCAGAGCTTCTATGTACTAGAGCCACTTCACATGTCCTGTGTAGTGAGCCACCCTCAGATAAAACTTTACATCATGGTGGTGGCAGATATTTCTTCATGCTAATATTTTCTTTATATTATGTATCAGGAGATGGTCATTTTCTCCTTCAGAGGTGTTCCCCTGCTTCTGGTTCTCTGAAATGTGTGCAACTGGGTGACTATGTGCTCTGCTCCATGTCCTTAAATGCAGACCTAATTGGCAACTTGGCTTTCCTTTTCTCATTCTATCCAGTGTTCGCAGGAATTTTAAGAATTTCTTGCCTGTTTTTTTAGGACATGGAAAGATGCCTCATGGCCTACTTTTAAAGTTTTTTTTTTCTTTTGAAGTATGTGTATAATATATTCTTGTTTCAGTGTTTGATTAAAAAAAATCTGTCTATATTTAAATGTGTTATATACATTGATTAAATATTTGACCTCATATCTTCAGATTTTTATGTTAAAGCCCTAGTTAATACATCTAGTGGTTTTACAGATGGGCTGTGTGAGTTCTGGGCAGTAGTCACAGACAGACAAAGTCATGAAG